GCGAGACTTGAGGCAATATAAGCTCGGGCTAGTAAAAACCATCCATAAACTATTTTCTCCGATCTATCGAGATACCAGCGTAGCGACCAGATATCTGCTCTAATGGCACCGCTTTTGTAGCGCGAGCGGAACATATGGCGGGGCTACACAAGCCTCATCCGAATATACACAGGGGCCCTACCCACCTCATCGCATCCCTCGGAAACCATACTTTCGACGCTGATCCTCTCGCGAGCAACGGTCACGCTCGATTTGGCGGTTTCGTGTTCGTGCGATTTTCACGGGTCGCAGGTAAAAGCCGGTCGGCGAGGATAATGATTTATCGGACCCCGCTGGTGATGGTGGTGTGGGAGCCCCCGGGGGGGCAGCGCAACGACTTCACCTCTCCACCACGGCGGCACAGGCTTTCCTTTTTGTTTTATTAAGGCCCGGGGTTTGGGCCCGACGTCGTTGCGGCCTCTCGGGAGAAGAGAATCCATTACGCCGATCGCGCGCCGCCTGGTCGGCGATATCTCTCTCATTTTTGCAGCGTGTAGCTCGTCAAAACGATCGGGGGCCGTCTCGATATATACGACGTGTTGTGCCAGATATCCCGCGAGACGTGCCGCAGGTTCGTCCTTCTCTACCGGGTGTTTATACATAAATCGGATCTCGCGAGCGCGAGAAACACGGCCGAATTTCGGTGAATGACGACGTGTAATTCATCGGGCCGAAATAATCAGCCTTGACGATCGAACGATCGGATCCGTTCAGCCGTATAGTTATCGGCCATTTAACCAATTAGAGATTACCATCTAGATATTTATACGGTCAATTGGGATAATTGCGATAGCGAGGTAAACGAAGCATCGCGATGAATATTATTTTTATCGTTCAAAGATATCCGCGTTACATCACTATGTAAGTCGCAGGTATATCATCAAGTTTCATAGTTATAATGATTTTATACAACTATTAGAAACTTTCTAAATTTCTACATACGCGGGATGAATGATTTTGGTAAAGCATAAAAATTGAGCTGGATACAGACCTGAAAATAATATTTTGTTGGACTATTAAAATAATTACGTAGTACGCTCAAATTGGAATGTCAAAACTTTTGGCAGCATTTACATCATGCTTGAAACGTCTACCTAGTTATTTTCATGATCCAATAAAATTATTTTCAGATCTGCATCTAGCTAGAAATTCCTAGATATTTTACATTGGAAAAAAAACATTTTATATAATATGTATCTCATATGAAAACTTTCTTACTTTTTAAAAATGTTAAATAAAATTTTTAACTTACTTTTTCTTCGACTTACAAAACTTTCTTATTTTTTCATTAAAAAATTTCGATTAGAACAATAAACTTTTATAAATTATATATCACACAAAAACATTTTTCTGACTGCAGCAAAATTGTTCTTTCCGTATAAAGTATTTCTAACATCCGGCAGCATTTTGGCAGCATTTACATCATGCTTGAAACGTCTACCTAGTTATTTTCATGATCCAATAAAATTATTTTCAGATCTGCATCTAGCTAGAAATTCCTAGATATTTTACATTGGAAAAAAAACATTTTATATAATATGTATCTCATATGAAAACTTTCTTACTTTTTAAAAATGTTAAATAAAATTTTTAACTTACTTTTTCTTCGACTTACAAAACTTTCTTATTTTTTCATTAAAAAATTTCGATTAGAACAATAAACTTTTATAAATTATATATCACACAAAAACATTTTTCTGACTGCAGCAAAATTGTTCTTTCCGTATAAAGTATTTCTAACATCCGTGTATAAAATTTTAAAGCCTCTACCCTCTAAAAATGAGAGACAATTAGTATATTATTATTATTATTGGCTGTAAATATTCGCTGATGACATCAGTTATAAGTGTAGCACTGAATTTATCGATTCACTTTTAGAGAGTAAGTATTGAAATTCTCAAATCGCAAAGGTCTTCAATTTGCTGTTTCACTTTTTGTTCACGATGTACATGGCAGGAGTTAAACTGTCTCGGTGTTTTTAGAAAGTTCTTTTTCATTCCATCGGAAAGTATCGTGTCGTATGTACGTGTCTGTTACTAAAAGCCTGCATCCGGAGAAGCTTCGGTGCGACGGAAATCGCCGGGTCGGCCGTGAAACGGCAGCGAAGTGTATTTACGGTCTGATATCCATTTGAAACTTTCTCACGTTTCGCGATACAAATGACGATTCCGTGTTTCACGGCCACGCGTCTAGGAAGCGACGAGGTGATTTACAAGAGCGGTCCGTCGTTTGTGCGTCAGCAACGAGCGATCCTTGAGTTGGAGGCTCAGGGACCTCGCTGGCTGTTTGTGCCTCATTACGCACGACCGGGCCCTCGACGAGAGTTCGCTCTTTTCCTTTCTCGAGAATCGCGATTCGCGACTCGGTGTTATACGCGACGACCCGAAAAGGACAATACACGCGGCTTTCCTTCTTCCTCTTCCTTTGCCAGCGATAACGCACGTCGAGTCGCGCTTGATCTATGGATCTCTATCTTTACCGTCGCCGGCGATCACGATCGCGGAAGAGCGACGCCGTTCATCATTCTGTATGTTGATCGCGTTCGCTATCAGTGTTTTTCAATCAACATGGAACGAGACGCGATTGCGTCGAGTATTTCTCAAACGTTCAGCAAAGCGCGAAAAGACAGAAGGAGATGAAATGTTACTATTATTTTAATTATCTAACATTCCAATTAGTCTAATTGCTTGTTCAACTAACGGTGATGGATATGAAATTATCTAATTTAATCTAAGAATAGAATTTTAAACAGTTGAAAAATATTAACATGTGTACTTCTTGTATTCTTTACCTGCTTTGCTTCCTCATTCTTTTTAATGAAATAGAAATAATAATATATAATTATATGGAAAAAACGTGATTTTGCTGAAGTAACAGTTTAGCTACACAGAAAGAACGGCTTTACTGAAATGTTTAAATATTTAGATACAGATCTAAAAATAATTTTGATGAACCATTACAATAAAATAATTAAAAATCTCAAATATGACAAGCACTATAAATAGTGCTGCAAGTTTTAAAATGAAGTAGAAGTTTTAACATTCTGGCAAAATTTGAATCCTACATAATTATTTTAATTAATAAGTTCAAACAAAATTATTTTCAAATTTCTAATGTTAAAACTTTCTATTTGAATTCTTAGATACGTCAGCAAAACATATTGTTTCCATGTAGATAAGAGATTAAAAACAATATTTGGTAGAATTATATAAAATTGATTGTATAGATTGTAAACGCTATTGACGACAAATTGTTGTAAAAAGTTTTAATATTCTAACGACCAATTTGAACATTCGAAATGATTATTTTAATGGTCCAATTATTTTCAGATCCGTATCCAACTAAATGTTTAAATACATACAAGCAAAATCGTTCTTCTCTTTCTCTCAAGAGTAGATGCTATTTTAAGATCTTTAACTGAACTCGCTAATATTATTCAGGATACTGATAGTATCGAGAATAAGAACTATATTGGCTCGATGCTCTCTCTTTCTCTTCTCGCAGTATATTCTTGCAAATAAAAGACTCTTTGGCACATCCTCCTTAATGCCATATTACAGTTCTGCACGGAAAGTTTACGTCAAAAAACTCTGCAAACACAGATGAAGTGATTGTATATGCGCGACGAGAGACGTAAAACAAGATCGGAATTCTGGCGAATCGAGGAATTCCGAAGCTCAATCCGCTCTTCCAATCTGCGCACGCGGCGCAATTGCGAACCGGAGAGCAATCGATGAGCGATTAGCGTGATACGGTCTTTACGCGGTTTGTCACGCAGGAGCTGGCGAGCTCGTGTGCGCGCGCGCGCGCATATGTACACACGGCGAAACGACGCGCATATAGCCCGGAGCGGTGTACACGCACGCGATCGCTTGTCTCTCCGTCAAGTTCTCGTGAAGGCCACCACTATGTAGCGAGTTGAGATGCGAGTGTGTCTCTCGGACTCGGCCTTGGTCACCCGCTTCCGTCAGCTGCGGGCTAATTGTGAATAACGTGTCGATACGCAGGCACGCACGCATGTGCATGTGCACGCACGCACGCATGCACGCACGCATGCACGCACGCACGGCCGAACCTCAGGGCCTCGATTCCGTGACAAGGAGCGGCGAGGAGCCTTTCCGTGTCGCGCCCGTTTCTTTGTAGCGTAATGTCGGAAATTATGCCGAAACGGGAGCAGCCGCTCGTTTTATTACGGGTGTCGTGTCTCCCGCTTCGTTTTACCTTCGTTCTGTACGTACATTCGCCTTTTTTCAACATACATAAGCACTCTTCTCGCGCTCGCGGTCGATCCTGGATCGACGGCAAGGAAACGAGAGAGAAAAAAAGAGAAGATATGTCGACCCGCATTCGTTGCATCCCACATTCAACGTGATCGAACGTCGTCATTCGATTCCGGGTTGTGTCTGTCTAATGCGAAGATCGCGGTCAATTCGATGTATCATAGACTAAAAATCACACGTCGTTAGATATTCAATATACGGGTATCGATATATGACTTCATGGGATTCTGTTTCGACGTAGTAATATTTTCAGAACAGTTCTTAGGCCGGTATTTATAGTCGGTTTTTATATTTAAGACTGCCTTAAGTATAGTCTTAAGATGTCAGAAGTCAATCACACAGGACGGTATTCATAGTCGAGTCTTATATTGTCTTAAGTACAGTTTTCAGATGTCATGAATTAAAGAGTTGCATTAATTTCTTAAGATATTACTTAAGATGATCTTAATATAATAAGTAGCATCTATGAATTTCGGTATTAAACTTTGATATGATATAACTTCTCCATTTATCGCGGTGAGTTGAGTATTGCCACAATATCGATTGGAAATTATCTTACAGGATTACTATGATTATCAACGTAGGAGAAACCTATGCTAAATATAAGAATTTCCTAAAAGATATTAAGTAAAAGTAACGAATTAAATAAACCAATGTCCCTTTCTAATTTTTCTGTTACAGACGAAAAAGAACAATCCCAACCGCATCAAGAGACCCATGAATGCGTTCATGGTCTGGTCGCAGATGAGGCGCAGAGAGATTTGCGAGAAACAGCCAGATATGCATAATGCTGAAATCAGTAAAAGTCTAGGGAAAGAATGGAAGTTATTACCGGAGATGGCGAAAAAGCCTTACAGAGAAGAGGCCGAACGACTCAGGAAGCTGCATCAGAAAGAGTACCCAAATTACAAATACCGACCAAGGAAGAAGACTTCAAAACCCGCTGAGGTTTTGAAGGCAAAAGAGAGGAAAAGAACGCGGAAATCGGTATCCCTATCGTTGTCGTCGCCGTCACTACCGCCCTCTCCATCGTCGTCGTCATCGATGTTGTCGACGCCGTCAAACAGCCCGGCCTCGATGCTGGCCAGCTCATCCTTGTCACCGCTGTCGCCGGTCTCTGCGGCACCCGCTGCTAGTCACGCTGCCAGGACCAGAAATGATAATAATAACAATACCCGACAGCAGATGCTGAAGAAGCCGATGAAAAAGCTTCAATCGAGTGTTAAACCGATGTCCAGGTTGAACTCAAAACACATCGAATTGACTTTAGAGACCTTGGAAACGCCACATCATATGTTGCGTTCTGATGTGGATTACAACTCGGCACCGTTATCAATTCCCGGCAAGGTGCCTACCAGTCCGACCTGCGATACCCCTGACTCGCCCGAGTCCGCCTTCTACGATGAAAGTTACAATCCCGAGAATGTTATCAACAACAACGCGATCTGCAACGTCGCTCTTAAGATCAAGCAGGAACCAAACGTAGAACTGAGAGAACCGAAGGTGGAACCGGAGTCGGAATTGGATGAAATCAATTTCGCCTCGAAAGACATAATTCTAGCGTCTGTGGACTTACCATCGACAATGCGGACGGACAATCATGGTTACTGTCACACGAATTTGACTTCCGCCGTTCGGCAGATGAGTTTGCAAGTGAAGCGGGAACCTTCACAGCCCACGATGATGAACGCTGTTGTCCCAATGACGATGCTTCCGTCGCCAGTATCCATCATGTCGTCCACCTTTGTAACGCCGACAACGGGCATCACTGGAGGTACCACCATTGATGACTCTTTTCTCACGGATGAGACCCTTATTAGCAACATCGGTCGTCCGGTCAACCTTGAGGAACTTATAAACAGCTTTCCACAACTCGCCGATCAATCTCTCTCCGATCAAGCATTAACCGACTTATCAAACGACATCGACATGATGATGCCGGATTTGGAGTTTAATCGTAATGAGGAGATTATGTCCATACTCGGTACTGACGAATGGAACGGGTCCTACTGAAAAGTCAAGAGAGAAAACCAAGAGGAAGATAAACAGAATGCGCATTATTGGTTTGTATGGAGTGTTTTCACGCATAGAGACACATAAATAATCGCGTTACATATAATTGTCCTCCACGTTGCGCGAGGACACCAGCGAGCAGAGAAGAATTCATTCGCTGTGTTCCGCATGAACCGATTAATAAAGATCTTGACCGAACGTATCGGCGCGATGCGCGAAGCAGATAACGCATATTATTGCGATCGTTGTCGACATTTCTTTCACACGGATCGCACGCTCGAGTTCATTTGAACGAATTATCATCCGCTATCGCGCGTCTTCGTCTTTTGTACTTGTCGCTAGAGTAGACGCGCTACTGTTCGAATGTACGAGTGTTTTTTTCGGCCGACGCGCGTCGTGGCTTTCCGTGTTGTGTGTGGTTCATGTAATTCAAATCTGCACGATCAATCGTTAGATCAGAAAGGCAGAAAATGGTCTTTCAAAGGAAACATCGAAAGGTACGTTCGTAAGAGTTTGTTCGTAATCAAAAGGATCGTTTGATTTGCAGTTAGCTGCTAATACGAATATATTTGTGGGTAACACAAAAAGCCCACAATGATTAGCATATATAAAAATAAATTCAAGAGATACGGCATTACGTGGCCTTTATTGGTTCTCACCTTTTCTTTTTAAAAATCCGCGAAAAATATCTCGGATACTTGATTATTTCGTTGGGCAGAAATCGGGAAATGGTCAGCGCCTAATAATAAATTAATTAATTAGATTCAGATTCGCGGATGTGATTCCAATTGGACGATTGTTGCAACACACATCGTCTTTGGATATGTTATAGTTCGTATAAAAACACCTTTTCCTGAATTTTTCGTACGAATCAATATATCAAAATTTTCCAGATCTAAAGCGATCAAGTCTTCGTTCATTCTTTATTCGAATATCAGCATTGCGTAAGATTAGCCAGCTCAGCAAATAGCTGACGAATCATCCGTGCGCGGCATTAACATTGATTACCGAGAAGAAAAAGACAAACGTTAGCCACGACGCGTGACGGTTTCGGGATTTTTTTTTTTTTGTATATGTACTGTATACTTTTGTATGAAGTTAGATATAAACGTAGGCGGGCGGTTGGGTTCGCGTGGTTTGAAAGTTTTCAATTGATAATTCATTGATAAAAGAATACGAAAAACACGTTTGCCAAGATGAACGATTTTTCGTCCTTATGCGAGTTACAGCCGCCCGTTTTTTTTTGTATATATCGCTGTATTTAGTAGAATATAATATATACTAAAAGTATAAGTAAATCCATCTCCAATCGTGATGTAAATAACGCACGCATTTTATGTGACATCAATGTTCCTTCTGATTCCGTTAAAATCATAATATTAAAATAAGTCAAAAAATTAAAAATTAAAATTGAGGATTTTATTTAACTAAGAAAATTCTGAAAAATTATTTATTTATTAAATCGAAATAAAATATGTTAATGTACATATATATATTTTAATATAAACGATGAAATAAGATATATCCTGGTTCAATTTAATATAATATTTTAATTTAATTATATAATATGTATAATAGAATATATTAATATACCTTATATAATATATTTAAATTAAATTAAAATATTAGATTAAATTTAATCAAGATATATTCTATTTTTCGTTATTTGAAGTAAAAGGAGGTTGTGCTTATTTATCTCTTTTTACTTTTTATTATTATTACGTTCAGTGCAAATTTCTTTGGTTTTTATATTGAGACGATATTAAAACAAAAATCGAAAAAATGTTAGTTTTATTTCACCGTTTTTATTTATTGTCTTGATACATAAGCACAATGAGAAATTCGAAAAAAGTGCAAAAAAGAAATTATACTACCTTTAAAAACTTTTTAATTGCAAACATGTTTTAGTTAATCGATCAGAAAAGGATATAAAAAAATTAAGTAAAGTTGATTACTAGTCGAGTACTTATACGATATTTAAAAATGTTAGAAGTTGTTTTTCAGCAGGATATGAAACGGATGAAGAAAGAACATCAATTGATATAATGTGTATGCGTGCATTGCTTCATGAAAAATATATACACTACCGTATAAGTTTTTGGATATTCTTAAAAAAATAAAATAAAACGTATTCTTGTGCAATTTTCTTTTGTTTTGGCAACAACTTCAATAACGATATTAATTGTCACGGATTGATAAGTTCAAGTAATCGGAAAACTTACAATTTTTTCTCAAAAAATCCTTTTGCTTTATATGGCCTTACATATTTTGAACTTTTTAAGCGTACTTAATGATCTCCAGGCACTTTGAAAATACTGTCAGAATTATAGTACGATCCTAATTTTTTTTACCCATTTGTTAGCCAAGAGAGGCTTTCTATTATTTTATAGTTAAAAGATTATGTAAGTTGCTAAAATAAAAAAATTGTACAAGAATATGTTTTATTTTTAAAGGTATCTAGGAACTTATAAACGATAGTATACATACATAAATATATATAGATGTGAAGAGTGAATAATGTGTGAGACACCGTTACGTTGACGATAGTCGTTGCGTCCTCCCACGAGAAATGGCGAAGCGATCGGTACGAATCGGAGATCATCATCAAGTACTCCCTCGACAAAATCAAGAACCTCGTCACCAAACGAATAAAACGCGAAAAGACAATTGTATGCTCAGTCACGATCGGTCACACATAATTATCTTGTCGAGTTTGACGAGTTGACGTTGAACGATTGTAAAGCTTGATCGACGTGACGCAAAGTGACGAGATGTACTTTTAGACTTTAGAGAATTTGCTCAGATAATTGTTGTCGGGTATCCCTCGAGATACCCTCAGAGATTTCATGAGATGTTGCTTTCTCCGAACGTCTGTCCTAGAAAAGAACAAAAAAAAAAAAATGATAGAAAAGAGAAATTCGTATTTTCGATGGAAGGGCTACGTTTGGGAGAAAAATCGTCGAGTGGAGGCAAGGCGCGTCGCTTCGATTGGAAACGGAAACGGGGAGGATAACAGCGCGAGCTGTTTTTCTCCGATCGGTCGTGCACACGGTCACCGACGTTAGATCTTAGCGGTTAAGATCCATCATCGGTATCGAGCAAGCGAGATCGGAGTGAGCCACGCTCGGCTAGCCGCACGATTATCGATATATCAAACACTTGATCTCATAGTCTCCAATTACAAATTACATTTATGTTTGCGTAGCGGTTAATTTTCAACGATTGTTCGTAAACGGTGATTATCTTATAGTCGCGCACCATCAGTGAATTCACTACTACCCGTCTCTTTTTCTTTTCTTTTTTACTTCTCTTGGTAAGATTCAAACGCTACTGTTTGCAATGTAGCAGCTCTACATTGCTATTATTCTCATTATTCGTATTAACATTGTTAAATATATATATAAATATCTATGATTATTATTATTAATATTATTACTTTTATTGTAATTATGATTATCATAATTATTATTTTTATTATTATTGTCTTTATCAATTCTATTGCTATTATTACTGATATTATCATTATTATTCGTATTTGCTATATCGTCAATTGCGAAAAAAGATTGGATTCGGCGAACACAGCGTGGAAAAACGAGCGAGCGGCTCCGACACCGCGCGTGCGGAGTGCGCGATTCTTAAAACTTGCGGACAAAAATGGAAAAAAAAATTAATTTTTCATCGGCGAGCAAAATAAGTTGCTCTGTGCGAATTATAGCTCATAAATTCTGTTTATCTGCTTCCTTCTCTTTCCTTTCTTTTTTCATTTCACCAACACGTAGGCGAGCGTCGTATGTGACACTGCGCCAATTAGTGCGCCAATTAGTGCGCCAATTAATCAATCGCAAACAGCGCTTTTTTTTTTAATTTTCTTTTCGATTTTTCTCGAGAGAAACGATCGCCGTATGAAACGATGGTCGTTTTCTGCAAAAGGGCGAACGACGTGCTTGGAAAGGGAAGGAAAGAGAAGGGACTAAAGGAAACCGGATGTAATACTGAGAAAAAGAGAATAAAATACAAAGAAAATACAGTGCCTATCACTCCGGTCTGGAAACTCTCGTACAAAAATCATATACAGGGCCAAGAGGAACAAAGTATAATGTTAGTGTTGATAGCTATTTACATGAAAGCGCAATAAAAATTATTACGATACAATTGCTCCGAAATTCTCGTCTCCTTTACTAAGGTTCTCAGGAAGTTTCAGGAAGATGATCAGACTCGGTCCTCGCGAATCGGGCAAGCAATTACGGTGAAGGAAACGAAAGGGAGAGCCATTGCTCTAGGAGCGAATAATCTTTCACGAGTAAAACAGGCTGTGTCGATTCTAAAGTTGTTAAACGCTTCTCGCGGACAGCATTACATATCAAGCCGCGTTAAACGCCACGCTCGTTCATCGCTCGTAGCCACACAATAACGCGCTCACGACGTGCGTCGCGATGTGTCAAATGCAACAGAGAACTGCCAGCAATAGACGCGCGATACTTGCGTCGAAGAATAATTAATGCCTCGGTAATCAAAAAGATAAATAGATAACTAAATTTTTGTTTCCGTCGTAACGCACATCGAATAACGTTCAAGGTGATGACGTTGAAGAAATCAAATGCCACACAGTACAGAATTTGCAGCAACAATGTTACAACGTTTGCAATGTTACTGTAATATCGCTGGAACGTTGCAATGTTGCTGTAATATTGTTGATCTTTACTATATAGGATCAGAATATTGAATCGCAGCATCACACGAACGTTTCTTATTTAACTTTTCAATGTTAAAATTATTACGAGGTTGTTCCAAATTAATCATTCAAGTTTAAGATAACAACGGACCTTCAACTTTCGAACTGTCCAAGCTCTAAAACTTTAGGCTCGCGTCTGAATTGGCGCAGGATGGTTACGACGAGCGGGGAGAAAAGGGGGAGGGGGACACGAGTTCAGATATCGTAAATTACTCGAACAATTTGCAGCCGAGTGCACACGACGACGAAGGGCACTTGTGCAAACAGA